TGGTGTTCTGCCCCCCTGGTGTGCCTCCTAATGGCACCTGGGGTTTGGCCACTGTGTGACACAGAGTGTTGGACTGGATGGCCCATTGGCCTGATCCAACATGGCTTCTCCTACAGGTTGCCCCTAACCCCTCCATTGTTCTCTATGGTGGGGAAAAAGTAACTTTTTTTTCTCACCATAGAGAACAATGGAGGGGATAGGGGCAACCTGAGGGCCCGTAGAATTAAACCTCCTGGTCCAATGCTCTTGAAACTTGGTTGGTATCTTGGGGAGAGGCTCCAGCAGCTACCCTGTGAATTTAGAGCCTCTCCCTCAAGCCCCCTCCCCTCCAGCCCCAAGAATATACCCTATGTTTTTGCCATTGACTTCAATGGCCCATAGGATTTAATGGGGCTGAAATTGACATTCGGCTGGTGGAAAGAATCTGCTAGTACTGACGAAACTGACATGCGGGAGTCTTACTGCCAGCCGAAATTGATTCTTTCCGAATGGGCCAAATTATTATTTTTTTTGCAAACCCCTATTAAGGAAACAAGGTGTTCTCGAATGAAAGGGATTTCTCTTCACAAAACTAAACCCTGGAGCAAATATTGAACATTCCTGCTTGGGCAAAAGATGAGATCCCAAATGAAGAAAGATTTTGTAAGACTATACAAGTTAACCAGGGGACCTTTGTTCTTCCTCTTCTTGGATCACCACTCTGTTTTGCCTACAGTGCAGTGACACAGCTAACTGGGTATTGTGTAGTGCCGATACAATTCCAAAAAGAAGCCAAATGATAGTCCACAAGGCCAACCAATTATCTTGATACATTTCTGTATTTAGTACATCTCTCCAACTGGGAGGAAATTTAGGGTGTGCTGGCTTTCAGAGTATATTAGTATATAACTGCAAAGTGGTAAAGAGAATGGTGGAGACATAATTGTGCACTATAAAGCACCAAAATCACAGGAACGGACGGGGTGCGGCATATAACACTGACTTTGATGAGGACCGTAATGGAATGAATGAGGCAAGGCCCCATGTTACAACAATGTCAGTAAAGCTGGTTCTTTCTCCAGATGCTGCATTTTCCTTTGGTAAATATTGTGAAGGAAAAACCTCTGGTACTCTCGAGCTTGACTTTCTGATTGGTATAAAAGGGTAAGTGAACCCGAGCTTCTTCCACCTGCATTTCCTGAGTCTGACCGTTGCTGTCTTACATCTGTGAGGATCAGGTATGCCATTCTTGATTCACCATCTCTTGTGCTCGAGTTATGATTATAGGTATATTTTTGAACATACAGATTAGATGAGGGGGAGGGGTTTCCTTTCAAAACATTGGTGTGGACACTTCCCAGATTTTGTTGATTTGGTTGGAGGGGAATTAGAAGTCCCTCTCTCTAAGTTGTCAGGATTTATCTGCATTTATGAAGATGAAGTATTCATGGACAAATCGATGGAGAGGTAGAGAGCAGGGAAAACAATGAAAGCAGTCAAATATTTGATGACATACGGTGTGAGAAGAATCCATGGGATGATGAAATTCACGTAAGAACATAAGAAAAGCCAATGTTGGACTAGATGGGTCATTGGTCTGGTCCAACATTGGCTTCTCTTATGTTCTTATGATCATCTCTTCCATCCTTCACACACAACTGTCCAGTAGTATCTAGCTGGTCAGTCTTAGATACAACATTGTGAATGCAGATCCACTTTTGGATTCTGCCAGCAAGGGAATGCTTTGGGGTTGTAAAATGTGCACTGAAGGATCATTCAACAGTAGTCCTCCAAAACTAGGAGACAGTGTCATAGGTGATGGTAGTTATAGAATCATAGAGTTGGAAGGAGCCATACAGGCTAACTAGTTGAACCCCCTGCCCAATGCAAAATCAACCTAAAGCATCCTTGAAAAGTGTTTGTCCAGCCACTGCTTGACGATTGCCAGTGAGGGGAGCTCACCACGTCCATAGGAAACTAATTCCACTGCTCCTCTATTCTTACTGTAAAAAAAATTGTTTCCTAATATCCATCCAGTATCTTTCCACCCATAATCTAAACACATTATTGTGAGTCATCTGCTGTTAACAGGAGCAGCTCCCTGCCCTCCTCTAAGTGATAGCATTTAAAATACACAGAAAGTGATTAAAATGTGGAATTTGCTGGGAGAGGATGTAGTGATGGCTACTGGCATAGCTTTCAAAGGGGATTAGAGAGATTCATGGAGGATGAGTCTATCAGTGGCTACTAGCCGTGGTGGCTGATGGGAATCTCCACATTCAGAGGCATTAATCCTCTCAATCCTAGAGCCCAGAGCAACATCAGGGGAAGGCCTCGACCTCTATGCTCTGTTGTTGGCTGTCCAGAGGAACTGGTTGGCCACTGTGTGAGACAGGAGGCTGGACTAGATGGCCTGTTGGTCTCATCCTTCAGGGCTCTTCTGATATTCTTCTCAGGGGAAGGCCTCGGCCTCTCTGCCCTGTTGTTGGCTGCCCAGAGGAACTGGTTGGATACTACTGTGAGACAGAATGCCGGACTAGATGGACCACTGGTCTGATCCAGCAGGGCTCTTCTGGTGTTCTTCTCAGGGGAAGGCCTCGGCCTCTCTGCCCTGTTGTTGGTCCTCCAGAGGAACCGGTTGGCCACTGTGTGAGACAGGATGCCGGACTAGATGGACCCTCACTGGTCTGATCCAGCAGGGCTCTTCTGGTGTTCTTCTCAGGGGAAGGCCTCGGCCTCTCTGCCCTGTTGTTGGCCCTCCAGAGGAACTGGTTGGCCACTGTGTGAGACAGGATGCCGGACTAGATGGACCACTGATCTGATCCAGCAGGGCTCTTCTGGTGTTCTTCTCAGGGGAAGGCCTCGGCCTCTCTGCCCTGTTGTTGGCCCTCCAGAGGAACTGGTTGGCCCCTGCGTGAGACAGGAGGCTGGACTGGATGGACCCTCACTGGTCTGATCCAGCAAGGCTCTTCTGGTGTTCTTCTCATGGGAAGGCCTCAGCCTCTCTGCCCTGTTGTTGGCCCTCCAGAGGAACTGGTTGGCCCCTATGTGAGACAGGGTGCCGGACTAGAGGGACCACTGGTCTGATCCAGCAGGGCTCTTCTTATCGTCTTATGTTTTAAATACTTCAAGAGAGCAGTGCTGCTCATAGCTATGGTGGGGCTATTGGGGGCTATGCTCCCTTCCTTAAAGGGCCATCCCCCTTCCTGAACAGCCCCCCGCTTCTTCCCAAAAGAAGAGAAGAAGCAGGTGATGGCACGTGCCCCTCTCCCTTCCTCCTGCAAGATTTAAAGAGCCTTCTCGCTGATTGGCAGGCCATGTGCTCCCTGCTGATCAGCTGAAGGGCCCTTTAAATCTTGCATGATGGGAGGGAGAGAGGCATGTCCCAACCCCTTCATTATGGCAAATAAGTGCAGCCCCACCGGCCCCACCAGAAACATTTTTGACCTACCAGCCACAAAATCCTGGCTACGGGCCTGAGAGCAATCCCATACCTTCTCAACCTCCTCTTCTCCGGACTGAACACTCCCAAGTCCCTCAGCCATTCCTCATAGGGCTTCTTTGTCTCCAGGCCCCCGATCATCCTCATCTCTCTCTCCTGCACCAGCTCCATTCTGTCCACATCCACAAAGCCAGTTTGGTGTAGTGGTTAATTGCGCGGACACTAATCTGGGAGAACCGGGTCTGATTCCCCGCTCCTCCACTTGCAGCTGCTGGATGACCTTGGGCAAGCCATAGTTCTGGCACAGCTATACTTGAAAAAGAACAGTTTCTGTCAGAGTTCTCTCCGCCCCACCTGCCTCACAGGGTGTCTGTTGTGGGGAGGGGGAGGGAAAGGAGTTTAAGAACATAAGAACATAAGAGATGTCAATGTTGGATAAGGCCAAAGGCCCATCCAGTCCAACACTCTGTATCACACAGTGGCCAGAAATACCAGGTGCCATCAGGAGGTCCACCAGTGGGGCCAGGACATTAGAAGCCCTCCCACTGTTGACCCCCCCCCCCCAAGCACCAAGATGACGGAGCATCACTTGCCCCAGAGTCCCTATCTATACCTTGTGGCTAAAAGCTATTGATGGACCTCTACTCCATATGCTTATCTAATTCCCTTTTGAAGCCGTCCATGCTTGTAGCCGCCACCACTTCCTGTGGCAGTGAATTCCAAGTGTTAGTCACTCTTTGGGTGAAGAAGTGCTTCCTTTTATCCGTTCTAACCCGACCACTCAGCAATTTCATGGAGTGCCCACGAGTTCTTGTATTGTGAAAGTCACTCTGAGACACCTTCGGGTAGTGAAGGGTGGGGTATAAATCCAATCTCTTCTTTTCTTCTTGGGTCAGTCACAAATCCTCTCAGAGCTGTTCTCTCAAGGAGCGTCCTCGAGAGAGCTCTCTCAGCCCCGCCTACCTCACTGGGTGTCTGTTGTGGGGAGGGGGAGGGAAAGGAGTTTGTAAGCTGCTCTGAGACACCTTTGGGTAGTGAAGGGCGGGGTATAAATCCAATCACCTCCTCCTCCTCCTCCTCCTCCTCCTTTTCTTCTTCTTCTTCTTCTTCTTCTTCTTCTTCTTCTTCTTCTTCTTCTTCTTCTTCTTCTTCTTCTTCTTCTCTGTCTGTCTATCTGTCTGTCTGTCTCCTCACAGGGTGTCTGTGTTGGGGAGGGGAAGGGAAAGGAGTTTGTAAGCCGCTCTGAGACTCCTTTGGGTAGTGAAGGGTGGGGTATAAATCCAATCTCTTCTTCTTCTTCTCTTCTTTTGGGAGTGAGGCCTCCAGAGTAGCACACAGTACTCCAGATATGACCTTACCATTGTGGTGCACAGTGAGGCTATGACATCTCGTGATTTGGACATTGTGCCTCTGTCGATGCACCCCAAGATATTAGCCTTTTTTTGAGGGGCTAAGTCAGAGAGTAAGGGAGAATCCCTGTCTAGAGCTGTGGCAGGAATAGGGCCCGGGTTCTGCTTTAAGGAATCCAGGTTTCCCTGATATTTTTTCTCTCTTGCAGCTCTCTCTCCAGTGCTCAGAGATGGCCCTCTGTGACTACAGCTGCAACTCGCTATGTGGCGTCAACACAGCTTGTGTCTCCCAAATCCCACCTTCAGAAGTCATCGTCCAGCCGCCACCTTTCCGCATCACCATCCCAGGACCAGTCATCACTGCTAGCCCTGAACCAGTGGCGGTAGCAGCTAACAATCCCTGTGCCACCCCTGGGTATGAGCCTTGGGGTTACGGCTATGGCTACGGTGCATGCCGTGGCTATGGGTATGGATCCGGAAGATGGGGTTGCAACTCTGCGTGCTCCTATCCTTATGGCCGTTACGGCTACAGAGATGGCTGCTAAGCGGCAAACACGGACATAGCTTTCAGAAATACTCGAACAGCCCCATTCTTGTTAATGTCTGTAAGAACTGCTGGTGCTTTGGAATGCCTGGGATAATGTTTAATCTGAATTGCTTTTTTAAATCTTTTGGCTTCCTGGGGATAATTGATTTCCTTTCATTCCTTTGTCCCTGCTTCCCCGGTCTCTTCGCCTCTCTGCTGTTTTCAAGAAGGCTGAGGGGTCAATGCTCCCTCTAAGCTGTGAGGTCTTGTGAGCAAAAATTCTACTTTGTGAGCTCCTGGCATTAAAGCTGCGAGTGAGTGATTTGGCTCCTGCATAAATTAGCTTGCTTTGGAGCCATCCTTCCTGAGCTAAGGCAAAAAATGTGTGAGCCGGAGGCTAAAAAACTGTGAGCTAGCTCGCACTCACTCAGCTTAGAGGGAACACTGTGAGAAGGATCTGGTTCATTTTTACTCCTTTCCCCTTTGAATCCGCTGATCACGTGGCCAACCTGTCTCATATGGTGTAGAACTGCAAGGACTTTAAATTCAGGACCGATTGACTCTAATGTCTATAGATGATATAGTAGACCCAATTCTGGGCCTTCCTAGCCGTTGAGTCAGCTGCTGAGGTGTTACGGAATATCAGAAACATTCCAAATGCTCTGAACTAACCTGAATCCTTAAATCCCATCGCCAAGGGATGGCCCCCATGTGGATAAGTGCTGCTGTTGTTGTTCAGTCGCACAGTCGAGTCTGACTCTTCGCAACCCCATGGACTAGATCATGCCAGGCCCTCCTGTCTTCCACCGTCCTCTGAAGTTTGCTCAATTCCATGTTCGTTGCATCTATGACACTGTCTAACCCTCTCATCCTTTGCCATCCCCGTCTTCTTTGACCTTCAGTCTTTCCCAGCAGCAGGGTCTTCTCCAGTGAGTGCTCCCTTCTCATTTGGTGGTCAAAGTATTTGAGCTTCATAGATCTTACATACCAGGTTCCTATGCAGTATTGTTCTTTGCAGCATTGGACTTTCCTTTCACCATCAGACACATCCACAACTGAGCGTCCTTTCAGCTTTGGCCCAGCCGCTTCACTCTTTCTGAGGTTACTTGTACTTGCCCTCTGCTCTTCCCCAGTAGCATATTGGACACACAGAGAAAATATTAAATATCTGATTCAATTAATATCCACAGTTGATACTTAAGCATTTATGTATTTTGAAGGGGGGATTTTTTTGGACTGTCCAGCACTTAAACTCCATCACTTGCCTTTGCCAATAAACTTTACTTCTTAGAGCATCATAATGTTTCTGTCCCATTTATTATGTCTGCATCTGGGTTACAAATTCATGTCGGCATACATGCCCAGGTGTCCATAGCTCACTGGGTGGAGCATTCTTTACACCACTGTTGGAATGTTCCAAGCTCTGCAAAAGCTCTTTATCAAGCTGATGATATTGGGATAAATCGGGGCTCTTTTTGTAGCAGGAACTCCTTTGCATATTAGGCGACACACCCCTAATGTAGGCAATACTCCAAGAGCTTACAGAGCTCTTCTTACAGGGGCTACTGTAAGCTCTTGGAGGATTGGCTACATTAGGGATGTGTCACTTAATATACAAAGGAGTTCCTGCTACAAAAAGAGTCCTGTGATATTTGGTTAATATAGCAGAGTTTGCCCAGTCATAGAAGCATGATGCTGAGTGCAGAAAATATATTGCAATGAGGGAAAACTTACATTTATTCAAGTTGATACATGTCACATTCAGGTTGCAGTCAAAAGGAGAGAGAAAGAAGCCTATTCCATAGAGTACGTTCCCCATCGCAAATGGCCAGCTACCTCGGCATCACATGTGCGAGGGTATGAAGACATTGTATCTACAGGAGAGACCTGAGGCAGAATTATAAGCGAGATGGGGCATTTCCGTACAGCAGTCAAATCACATTTTATTGTATGGTCAAAGACCAGCATAGATAAAATACTACAAAACACACACACAAAGTTAAAATAGATATTCGTAAAAAAAATAACACAAATTAAAATAGACAATAATATAAATAGACAGTAATATAAATGGGTGGTAATTACATAAACCTGGATAACGAAAGCAACTGACTAATTTTATAGGCTGTTTCGCAGAATTTTGCAACTGAGGCTGCGGTCACTGGATTTCTGTCTTCTAGGAATAATGTAACATATCTCAAGCTTGCTCTGGCTCTTCAACCTGACAATGCGGCCTGCACTCTGCTCTAAAATAACTGCTTACATTGCTGAGTTCCAACCTCAAAGCCAAAACATCTAGATATGAGGACCTGTGGCTCCAAGCTCCTGCTTTGTCAGGGAGGGTGTTTTTGACCTAGTAATACAATAACTCCAGTCAGAGTCTTCTGGTCAGAGAAGGGAGGGGTCTGGCGTTCGTCAAGACCATCCGATTTCTTGATTGACAGCTAACCTGGATTCTAAAAGTATTTAACACCAGTGTTTGAGATATGGTAGCTCAAGTGGTTAAGACGCTGACCTGCAGGCTGTGGAAGGTCAGTAGTTCAGCAGTTTGAGACCCGAGTTGCCTAGTTCCAGCTCCTGACAACCTAGCAGTTCGAAAGCAAGAAATTGCAAGTAGGTAAATAGGTACCACTTCGGTGAGAAGGGAACAGCGTTCCGTGCGCCTTGGTGTTTAGTCATGCCGGCCACATGACCACGGAAATGTCTCTGGACAGTGCTGGCTCTTTGGCTTTGAAATGGAGATGAGCACCGCAACCCTCGAGTCGGACTCGACTGGCTTTCGAGCAAGGGAACCTTTACCTTTACCTTTACCTTGAGAGCTAAGGGCCCTCTGCCAATGCCCTGGTTAGGTCCTGCGAGAGCAGCCGGGATGCATTCCTAAATAGATAATACTTACTAAATGTGCAGTTTTTGTTAATCATTTTAAATAATAAATAAAATTATAAATAATAAATTATAAATTATAAATAAATAAATAAAATAATAAATAAAATGTGCACTTTTTGTTAATAAATATTGGTTTTTCTGCTCCCTTCTGTGAGAGGAATACTGAAATCGCCACTTGTTTGAAAATTCGTGCAGTATGGTTTTCTTTTAATAAATCACAGATACTTTGGAAAAGGTATTTCTCTCTCTCTCTCTCAAACTATGGAGTTCCTGCCAGTTTCAACCCTCACCCCTTGTCGATCCGGGTGGGAAAGGGATCCTTAGGAGAAGCTCCTGGTCTCTTAATTCCCCCAAGAAGAAGAAGAAGAAGAAGAGAAGAGATTGGATTTATACCCCGCCCTTCACTTGAAGTCTCAGAGCGGCTTACAAACTCCTTTCCCTTCCCCTTCCCACAACAGACACCCTGTGAGGTGGGTGGGGCTGAGAGAGCTCTGACAGAAACTGTTCTTTTTCAAGGACAGCTGTGCCAGAACTACGGCTCGCCCAAGGTCATCCAGCCAGGTGTAAGTGGAGGAGTGGGGGAATCAAACCCGGTTCTCCCAGATTAGCGTCCGCACACTTAACCACTGCACCAAACTGGCTCCATGGAAGGCCATATAGAAGGAGTGAGAGGACAGTGTGAGAGGGGAGGAGTCAGAGGGCACTCCCAGCTTAAGACAGAGAGGCCCATTCAAGGAGATAACAACGATACACACTTAGCGTGATGTCCAACCCACCCCATGTCCAGGCATGCTGAATCACTCACTCCAACAGGTGATAGCAAGTGCCATCAAGTCCCAACCAACTTATGGTGACCCCCATAGGGTTTTCAAGAGAGGATATGAACAAAGGTGGCTTGCCATCGGCTGCCTCTGTGCAGCAACCCTGGACTTCTTTGGCGGTCCCCCATCCAAGCACTAACTATGGCTGACCCTGATTAGCTTCTGTGATTGGACAAGAGCAGATGAGCATGTGCCGTCTAGGCGAGGGCCCTTCAAGCTAAGGTCTGAGAAGAACCTGAAACTCTATATCAAAAGCAATGGGAATTAGATTTGGCCATCTCATTGACCGAAGAGGATGGGTTACAAATATATGAAGTAACATTCAGGGAATCAAAAATCGTCCCTATTCATATGCAAGCAGCAAAGATATTAACCGGATGGTATAGACCACCCATTACAATGCATCAGTGGTATAGGCCACCCATTACAATCCACCGCTGGACCTCCTGATGGCACCTGGGATTTTTGGCCACTGTGTGACAGAGTGTTGGACTGGATGGGCCATTGGCCTGATCCAGCATTGACTTATCTCATGTTCTTATGAATTCAGAAATCACATAGCACTATGTGTAAAAAAACCAGTGCGACAAAACAGCTGATTTTTTCCACTGCTGGTGGCAATGCCCTCTAATTCAAAAATAGTGGCAAGATACAATAGAACAAATTAAAGAAATTACAAAGATCATAGAATGTTAGAGTTGGAAGGGACCTTGCAGGTCATCTAGTCCAACCCCCTGCACTCTGCTTACTTACCGTGCTCTCCAGATTTCCTCCTTTTGGAAAGGTGGCCAGAAATCAAACATGGAGATAAATACAAAGAAATAATAGCAAATTTAATAGCTATAGCACAGATACTTATAGCCAGGGCTATTTTTGGGCACGAACACACAGGAACGGAGTTCCGGCTGGCTCCTGAGTTGGCCACACCCAGCAGGAACTCATTAGCATAATAGGCCACACCCAATAGCAGAAAATTATTAGGATTGGCTACATTAGGGGTGTGTGGCCTAACATGCAAAGGAGTTCCTGCTCCAAAAAACCCCCTGGGTTTTGACAACAAACAAGGTAAACAGAATAAGAAGGCAAAGGTTGGTGTGGCTGGATGACCACACTTCTGGTAACATGGGGGTGTGGCCTAATGTGCTAATGAGTGATGCTGTCAGGGTGTGGCCTATTATGCTAATGAGTTCCTGCTGGGCTTTTTCTACAAAAAGAGCCCTGCTTATAGCCATCAAATGGGTAGGAAAAAAAATCCTCCAGTTACGCAATGGTGGCGGCTCCTACCTGGTGGAATGAGCTCCCGGAGGAGATCCGGGCCCTGCGGGACCTGGTGCGGTTCCGCAGGGCCTGCAAGATGGAGCTCTTCTGCCAGGCGTATGAGTAGGAGCCGCCACTACCATCATTACCATCATCACTGTTCCATCGTCCCTGGCCGTGGAAGAAGGGAACATCAGCGTCTGCCAGAACAGATAGCCTTGAGTAGGAGACAATCCTGAGTAGTAGAGAAATTGTATACCATCTGCGGAATATCATAGGAGAACGCCAGAGCACTTTGTTTAGTAAATGTATAAATGTAATAATGTTATTATAATATTATTGTATTGAATTGATTTTATATAGTTTTATATGTTTTATATTGGCGTAAGCCTCTTGTAAGCCGCCCTGAGCCCGCATACGTGGGGAGGGCGGGGTATTAATTGAATTAATTAAATAAATAAATAAATAAATATAACAAAATATGGGAACACTTCACCATGCCAAAAAAAAATCATTTAATATATCGAACACATTGCCAGAAAATTGTAATAAAAACGTAGTAGCAGTTTGGTATCCGGTTATAAGCTTTATGCTTGGAATAGAGATTATTACAAATACTCCACAATATCCAAAGATGATTTATTTTTGAGGGTTGTTATCCTTGAACGTTATGGCGAGTTATGAATGGAGAATTTAAGGCAATGTAAACAAAGTACTTAGAATGTAAGAATGTCATATGTATATACATTGATAATTAACGTATGAAGGTTATGTTGGAATATTGCTTGTGTAAGTTAAATGTTTTAAAAATGGAAAAAATTATTAATTAAAAAAAAATCAAGCTAAGGTCTGAAAAACCTGGGTTGTGTACTCATCCATATCTGATTATTAAAAAGGGGGAGAGAACTGCTTGCCCAACAGTAATGGAGGATGGTGTTGTTTTGTGACTGGCAAAAATGCTTCCCAAGGCATGATGCTGCCGGAAAGACTTCACCTGGATTTCCAATTAATGAGAAACTCGGTGCATACTAATTAACGACTATGTTCATGGACCTGTGTGGCTCCAGCTAGCCCGATCTTGCCAGATCTTGGAAGCTAACCAGGGTCAGCCCTGGCTAATATTTAGACTGGCGACCACCATGGAAATCCAGAGGTGCTATACAGAGACAGGCAGTGGCAAATCATCTGTGAACCTCTCTTGTCTTGAAAACTATACAGGCTTTCCACTACCGTCTGAATTGAAGAAAGCTCTCCGTACTCTGGGGCGGGGGGGGTTCCTACAGAAAGTAAGGAACTTATTCCATTAGTTGCTGTAGATGTTCCGGGCTGCATGGCCGTGGTCTTGGTCGTACCTGAGGTTTCGCCAGCAGCTGTGAACATATTTCAATTTGAAATAGCTTCCACGGCCATAATTATCACCTGTAGTGGGTTAACTGGAGCAACTCCTTAGCGCCTCGGAGCCTGCGGAGGGGGGGTGTTCCTAACCAACTATTAACAACACTCCAATTAAGTCCCAGTTTTAAATGGGACATGCCTTCGGCAATCCATTATAATGTAAAGATGTGAAATTGCATTTTAAATAATTCTTAGCACAGTTGGGGATGTTATCTGGGGAGTCTATTATGACTCCCATGTTAATTCTTTTCTCTCTTTTGTATTGTGTGCAATTTTGTGTGTGTGTGTGTATGCCCATGCCTGGAAGTCACAGTAGCCTCTGGAAACTCCTACTGGGGCATGGAGGATGTTCATAGAAGTGACTTGATAGCCTGCCTCTTCCTCCCGACCCTGGTTTTCTCTGGAGGTCTCCCATCCAAATATTTGCCAGGGTCACCCCTGCTTAGCTTCTGAGATCTGACAAGATTGGGCTTTCCTGGGCTATCCAGTTCAGGGCACCCCCATGTTAAATATTATCGGGATCTCACAGACCCCCTTATACCCTGCTCATACAGTTTTCCCTTCAACTCTAAGAGCATAAGAACATAAGAGAAGCCGATGTTGGATCAGGCCAATGGCCCATCTAGTCCAACACTCTGTGTCACACAGTGGCCAAAAACACCAGGTGCCATCAGGAGGTCCAGAAGTGGGGCCAGGACACTAGAAGTCCTCCCACTCTTCCCCCCCCCAGCACCAAGAATACAGAGCATCACTTGCCCCAGACGAAGAGTTCCTATCTATACCTTGTGGCTAATCGTGGCCTCTGCTCCATATGTTTATCCAGTTCCCTCTTTAAGCTGTCCATGCTTGTAGCTGCCACCAACTCCTGTGGCAGTGAATCCTGCGTGTTAATTGCTTTTTGGGTGAAGAAGGACTTTCTTTTATCTGTTCTAACCCGACCGCTCAGCAATTTCATGGAGTGCTGACGAGTTCTTGTATTGTGAGAGAGGAAGAAAAGTACTTCATTCTCAATCTGCTAAATTTCTTGGAATTGTGAAAAAGCACTGCGTATTTAAAACCTTAATATTTACATCACCTTGTAGTAGCTATTTCATCTTAAAAAATGTGTTTTTTAAAACTATATCAGGATCATTAATATCCCCAGTATTTTGCATGTATGGAGCTTTATACCCCTTACCTGCAGAGAATCCTCTTCAGGCCCAAGCTACACTGGGGCATTTCAGGGCCCTGACTCCTTAATAAAAAGCCCCTCCCCACAAATAGCCATGCCAGAAACCTTATTTTTGACCATGGCCTAGGTCAGGGGTGTCAAACATGCAGCCCGGGGGTTGGATCAGGCCCCCGGAGGGCTTCTGTTAGGCCCACAGTGGAACTGGCCGTCTTCGACTTTCCTCTTCCAGTTCTGCTGCTGCTGCGTCATTGTAGGTTTGCAGCTTACAGATACACACCTGAACAGCATACTCAAGATTGCAACAGCACAGACATTTTGATGCAATAATTCAGAGCAAGAGGTGTCAGTTATCAGACACTGATAAATAAACAAAATATTGCAAGAGTGCTAATGTTTTAAGTATGTTTTTATTTTAAGTTAAAAAAAACACCGTTGTGTTTGTGTCCTTTATAAATTTTATATCCCTGCTACCTGGCATTACATTTTATGACACACATGGCCCGGCCCAACAGGGTCTCATTTATGTCAGATCCGGACCTCATAACAAATGAGTTTGACACCCCTGGCCTAGGTGGTACTGAGCTAGCAGAAAGGAGGATTGTTGGAGATGCACTGAAGGTGCCCTTCTAAGCTTTCTTGCACTGTGGAAGGGAAATCAAAAGGCATTTAAATTCTAATACAACTTTGTTGGTCATAAGAAGAAGAAGAGATTGGATTTATACCCCGCTCTTCACTACCCAAAGGTGTCTCAGAGCGGCTTACAAACTCCTTTTCCTTCCCCTCCCCACAACAGACACCCTGTGAGGTAGGTGCGACTGAGAGAGCTCTGACAGAAACTGTTCTTTTTCAAGGACAGCTCTGACAGAACTATGGCTTGCCCAAGGTCATCCAGCCAGGTGCAAGTGGAGGAGTGGGGAATCAAACCCGGTTCTCCTAGATTAGAGTTCGAGCACTTAACCACTACACCAAAAGTGATCCCTGGACTCCAACTTGGTTCTGTTGCTTCAGACCAACATAGATGCCCACCAGAATTGTTCAAGAGAGCTCGTCTATGCAGACAGTAGGCTAGCTCTGTACAAAAGGCTTCACAAGGTTAACTTGGATAAATGACTGGGGATGGTGGTCTGTACTGATGTGTATAGTTTGCTGTGGGTTTGATCTTAGTGTGTAATTCTACATCATTTAATCCTTATGCCTCCCTTCCCTTCTGTTTTTTTAGACTTCTGGTTGGTCCTACAATCCAAATCCTATTTCATTGTGTATCGAACGTTCCCAGCTGGTGGATTGTGTCAACTCACTCTGTGTAATCCATCTCGAGTCCCAGTGAGAAAGGTGTCCTATACATAATTTCAAGACCCTCTGAAACAGTTTCAAATAAGCACTCATAGGGGTATAAAGCACAGGAATCAGGACTTATGATGCAGCGTAAGCTTTATTCGGAAATAACAAAACAGGAATACACAATCAAAGCTCCCTAGTTGGAACCCAATCCAGCAGAAGTTGGGCAAACGCCAAGCAGTAACTTTTCTCTTTGCCCGAACGACCTCACGCATGACAGTTCAGCCCCAAGGTGTTTGAATGTCTCTGCACAGCCATTGGTAAAGCAAACCTACATCTCAGAAGTAACTAAACAGTAGAAAAAAAAGATTCTGATTTTTTTTTCAGCGGTACTAAGCAGGTACTGCAGTTACAGGCACTCAGTATTCCCTGAAAATCTGGGCCCGAAAGCTCAGCCACGGAATCTGTGCCGGGGGGTGGGGGGGTTATCGATTTCCTAATCATTTCTGTTGGCGTCGCTGATCGATCTGGGCTTAGCAGGGATAGCCGCAGGTGCTGTATCTACGCCTCGGCCGACAGATCCCGCGGAGGCCACCGGAACCCGATCCCGAAGCACATGGTGTGTAGCCTCCCACAGCCACAGGTTCACAGCTGGCAGCGAGGATGGGACCTGGGATGGTCACCACATAGGGGGGTGGCTGGATCACCACTTCCGATGGAGGGATCTGGTTGACGCAGGCGACGTTGGCCCCGGAGGTTATGCCGAGACTGCTTGAGGACACAGGCATGCCGCCGCCGTAGCCAAGCATGCCCGATCCGACCCCGCATGGCCCGAGTCCAAGCATCGGGGAGGAGGCACAGGATGGGATGGCACAAGATGGAGGGTAGCAACAAGCCATGTCTATGGAAGAGATGGGGGATCTGCAATGACAAAAAAAGAGGAGACCCGTCAATCTTCTGTTGGCTTCTGTTGACGCCGAAATCTGTCTCCAGCTTGGTCAACGGAGGGATGACCACATTTTCATTCTGCTGGTGTGCCCCATGGATGGCCCATGCTAATCCAATCTGATCAGATCTTGGAAGGTAAGGTGGGTCAGCCCTGGTCAGGGCTGAGATGGGAGACCACCAAGGAAGTCCAGGGTTGCTATGCAGAAGCAGGCAATCGCAAACCACCTGCATTCGTAACTCTTGCCTTGAAAACGCTATGGGGCTGCCATAAAACAGCTATGGCTTGATGGCAGTTTCCACCACCCTCTGTCCCATTGGGGTCCAGGGCACTAAAGAGCCATCCAGTTCACTATTCATATCTATCTATCTATCTATCTATCTATCTATCTATCTATCTATCTATCTATCATCTATCTATCTATCCATCCATCCATCCATCCATCCATCCATCCATCCATCCATCTATCTATCATCTATCATCTATCATCTATCATCTCTCTATCTATCTTTTCATCTATCTATCTATCATCTATCTATCTATCTATCATCTATCTATCTATCAATCATCTATCTGTCAATCTATCTATTGTTTATATCTATATCTATATCAATATATAGATATATAGATATATATTCTTAAAGGGAACATGGATGTCTTCCCACCTTCTCCACAATGAACGCTGAGCTTTAACACCAGCATTCAAAACATTATCATGCATTGTGAACAGAATTCTGAAAAGACAAAACCATTCCTACAGGAGAAGTGATTGGTATTATACAAAACTCCTTTTTTTTTGGCAACTGTACATATGAAGCTGGATCCGACCATCGGTCCATCAAGGCCAGTATTGTCTATCCAGCTTGGCAGTTGCTCTCCAGAGTCTGAGACTGTGGCCTTTCACATCTTCCATTACCTATTAGCTGGAGATGTCAGGATTTGAACCCAGGACCTTCCGCATGCCAAGTAGATGGCCTTCCAATAAGCCATGGCCCTTCCTGGTCCATAGGGCAAAAAAAATCCCCAATATCTGGATCAGGCTTTTCTGACAAGCTACCAAGGTCATTAGAAGAATCATTAATTCAATTCCTGGACACTTGTTCCATTACCACGGATGACAGACTTAGTATAATAAAATAGGCACTATCATAGCAGTTTTTCCACTGGATGGAGAGCATCTTCACCATAGACTATAGTCAGTGTTCCCTCTAAGCTAAGTTAGTGTGAGCTAACTCACAGTTTTTTTAGCCTCCGGCTCACGCATTTTCATCTTAGCTCAGGAAGGATGGCTCCAGAGCAAACTAACTTATACAGTATCCAACTCGCTCGCTCACAACTTTAACGACAGTAGCTCACAACGTAGAAGTTTTGCTTACAAGACTCCACAGCTTAGAGGGAGCATTACTTTCCATATGACTTGACTTAGAACTGGTAGTGATTCTGCTGTGGACCTCAGACTGCAAAGTATACCTGCATGCACATACTGAAAGGTATTTTTTTTCAAATGCTTCCTTTCAATTTTCTTGGAATGTAGGGATTCCCAGATTCAAAAGAACCAACTGAATCTTTGTAAAGGACTTTTTTGTTTGGAAAGGGGGAGATGGAGGAGAAAATTCTTCGATTAACCATCTCAAGACGGTATACATTCCCCTAATAAAACTAAGTAAGGTAAAGGTAACTAAGTACATCCATCTTAATTGAACGGGCAGAAACCCCCTATTCTAGATGTCTTCTGTCTCCCTCCTGTCCATCTGTTTCAGGTCCTTGGAAGTTAGACCTGTCTGTTCCTAGTGCAAGGCAAGTAAGTAATAAAGTTGCTCAGAATTGTCTATAAAAGTTTTCTTACCTGGTTTTTTCAGGAGAAAGAAGTGGAGAGGAGTTGCGGTTGGAAGTCCAGGAACAGTATGCCAGTGGATGAGATGCGAGTTCTTTTTATACGCTTTCTTTGGGCCGTGAGGTGGATGCTGAGAGACACCCCTCTTGCCTTGAGGATTTAATTAACGTGGCTGATATGTGCAAATGTGAATGGTAAACCGAACCAAATTGCTTTGTTTTCATTCGAGCTGTTAGCCCTTCGTCAGCCATTTAGGAACCTCACATTCCACCTCAATTCTTTTAATCTTTTCCATCTTTCGCAAAATTGCCTTGGATTTAATTGACGTACCCCTGGGGATTAACCAGGGCCCTGTCATTTAGTTCCTTCCATTCGCTCCTGTTAACCGAAGAGTCAGCAAGGGTTTCTCAGAGAAATTGCATAGGAAGGTTCTGTATGCTGAGTCAGACTATTGACCATCGGTTGAGGCAGGTGGACTGGCAGAATACAGGTCAAGAGGCCTTTTCCCCCTTTTCTTGCATGCTCTTTTAAAGCAGGAGACATCTGGGTAAACACTTTTTTCATTTGTTTTACTTTTTTGGAAGAGGAGAAGAAGAAGAAAGAAGAAAGGAGAAGGAGAAGGAGGAGGAGGAGAAGAAGAAAAAGAAGAAGAAGAAGAGGAGGAGGAGGAGGAGGAGGAGATTAGATTTATACCCCACCCTTCACTACCCAAAGGAGTCCCAGAGCAATTTACAAACTCCTTTCCCTTCCCCTCCCCACAACAGACACCCTGTGAGGTAGGTGGGGCTGAGAGAGCTCTGACAGAAACTGCTCTTTTTCAAGAACAGCTGTGCCAGAACTATGACCAAAGAGAAAGTCATTATTCCTCAGTTTATTTTCTTTGGCCAGTCCCCCCCCCCCAGTTTCTTTTACCCATTTTGATGTCATTCTATACAATGTGCGCTTATTCCCGTAGGAATCTACCGGACCACTCCAGTAATCTTCAGAGGATCTGATTCAGGTGCTTCTGCCATTTGAGGCTAGACAGGTGTCCACAAGAGAAAGGACACTTGTCTGTTTCTCTTTTTTATCATCTTCCACCAGTAAGTGGAGAGAAGGGTTAACAGTCCGGTGGTGGCAAACGGTGGGAGACAATGCAGGTAGGGACATCGTAGTCAAGTTTATTGTTATGTGGCCATGGGCCATTAAAAGTTAAAACTTGCTAAAAAATTTAAATTCACTCGAAAAAGCAATTATGCTTGGACTGGTTAGTGGCGAAAGGAGAATGGGCCACCAAAGAACACAGTGGCTAGACACCATAAAATTCGACACCAGCCTGAGCATGGAACGACTCAAAGAAACAGTTCAAGATCAGAACACGTGGAGCAAGCTGGCCCATAGAAATGCCAAGAGTCTGGCACAACTAAAGGGCTAACAACAACAAAATTATGTTATGGTCTGCCCCTTGTACTCGGAACTCAGAAGTAAAATTTTGACCAGGACAACAGATCAACTGTACAATTTATCTGACACAGATAAATTAATATTTCTGCTGTCAGAGGTGGACTCCTTTCTTTCTAACAAGAATGGCACGTTTTTTGCGTTAGCGGCTAGGAAAGTTAGAACAAAGGTGGTTCTCATGCAAGCAGTAAAATGGAACGTAATGTCCCAGTGTGTATCTTGTATGTCTGAGTGTGAGATGATGTGGGTAGGGACATATAAATCGCCATCACTCCAATAGCACAACATCACTTCTGGTTCAAACCCAGAAGTGACATCATGTATTTACCATAGAGTTTCAGTAAAACCCTAGAGAATCACCCTAACGTGGTGGCATTATTTCTGAGTCTTTGCTGAAAATGACATCACATTGTTGGAGCAACGCCAGTTCCCCCTCAATTATTCCACAGGACCCTACCAAATGGTGACAGAGGACAGGGACACCAGGCAGGTGGCCTCTTGAAGGAGCATGCAAGAGAGCATAAGAACATAAGAAGAGCCCTGCATGATCAGACCAGGGGTCCATCTAGAACAGCATCCTCTCCTACACAGTGGCCAGCCAGTTCCTCTGGAGGTCCAGCAACAGGGCAGAGAGGCTGAGGCCTTCCCCGATGTTGCTTTTTGACACTGGTATTCAGAGGTTGACTACCTCTGAAGCATCTCTATGAGCATCTGCCTTTGGGTATCTGATAAACTGAGCTTTCACTCTTGAAAGCTTATACCCCCTCCCCCAAAACTGTGTTGGTTTCTAAGGTGCTACTGGATTAACACACAGAATTCACTGCCACAGGAGGTGGTGGCAGCTACCAGCATGGACGGCTTCAAGAGAGAATTGGATAAACATATGGAGCAGAGGTCCATCAGTGGCTATTAGCCACAATGTATAGATAGGAACTCTCGGTCTGGGGCAAGGGATGCTCTGAATTCTTGGTGCTTGAGTGGAAGGGTTTCTAGTGTTTTGGCCCCACTGCTGGACCTCCCGGTGGCACCTGGTTTTTTGGCCACTGTGTGACAGAGTGTTGGACTGGATGGATCATTGGCCTGATCCAACATTGGCTTCTCTTATGTTCTTATGGATTCAAATCTAGCTGCCTCTGAAAGTGGAGGTTCCATGTAAGTTACCAAGGTTAGTGGCCACTGATAGTTTTTTCCTCCATTATCTGTCTGATAACCTTAGTGAAGTATTTTTGTTTTGTTCGACATTCCCATGCCAACTCTCATTGGCTCCCCTCCCTCTTTGTGTGTTTCTGTGTTTATTTGTTTATTGGGTTTTTAAAAAAATGTATATAGGTTTTATTAAACAAATAAACACAGAGACACCCAAAGAGGGAGGTGAGCCAATGAGAGTTGGCGCGGGAATGTCAAACAAAACAAAAACGCTTCACTAGCCCTGACCTGGATAGCCCAGGCAAGCCCAACCTCATCAGATCTTGGAAACTAAGCAGGGTCAATTCTGGCAAGTACTTGGATGGGAGACCTCCAAGGAATACCAGAGGCGGGGGCAGGCTTTATTCAGCCACCTCTCTGAACTTCCTCCAGGCCCCCAGTAGGGGTCAGTCATCATGGGTCAACCTGACATCCAGGTTGCACACACACACACACACATAGAGAAAATACAAAAAAAGGTTACCAGGTTATTAGTTTATGGGGGAGTAGTATATCTGTGGCTACTAGCTTCCTGCTTTGGTGGGGAAATAAAATATTTGGTGGGGAAATAAAATATTTCAAATGCTGTTTTCATAAGAACATAAGAGAAGCCAATGCAGGATCGGGCCAATGGCCCATCTAGTCCAACACTGTCACACAGTGGCCAGAAACACCAGGTGTCAGTGTTTGACTGCTTGCCCCCTTGGAGACCCTTGGATGGAAAGATGGCACCAAAAACATTTCAGATAATAAAAATAAATGTATCCACCTGTGATGCAAAAGCAAGCATTGATTTTATTGACAATTATTACCCCGCTTTGTTAATATGGCTGGGAAACCGAGACAAGAACAGCTTAATCAGCACTGCTGAGAAACAGTGAAATAAATGCCAACTTTTCCATGAAACCAAAGCGATGCTGAAATTTAGTACCTTTGCTCCCAAAGTTGCAAGGGCAAGCAAGCTGGAAGTGGTACAGCCTCAAAACCTGAACCCATAAATCAGCCCAGATAAATCAGCCGCTGCAGTGAACGAGTACATTTCGCATTATCTCGCCATCAAATGTCCAGGAAAACGAGCCAGTTTAACTTAATGCCTCGAGAACAGTATCACTGTCGAAAGAATGTGCCCGGAGAACCACAATTAGGGTGTCTCTGGAAACCACCCAGCTGACACCCAAAAGGAGGAGCTACCCAGATCAAAGGCTAAGATGATAATCTCGGCAAATGAGCAGGTTCCTCTGGGACCAGTTAATTCTCCGTCATTTTCGTGGATCTCTGCTGCAAACGTCGGTCTGAAAAAAAATCCTGATCTACCAGAGCACCTTCTCTTCCCTAGGACCAGGGCAAGCCGACCAAAGTGAATGGTGTCATTGAACTACCTTGGGGCACCAGGTTATTAGCCCGGGGAATGGTTTTTCTGGCCCAATCCCAAAGTTCACTAAATCTCCTGTCCCCGAATATCTTCCCAGATCTGTGTAGGCTGAAGCTGGAATTAATGGAGGAGGGTGGGGTTGTAGATTGGCACCCTTCACACACTGACACTCATTCATGAATACGGATCACAGCCTTTTGACAGAAAACATCTCCGACAAGCTCATTAAAATTGAAATCACTTAATGTTAGCAATCAACAGCTGTTTATGACTCCGGTTGCAAAAACAGTAAGGGCAATAAAGAAATAAATGAGCAGTAAGTTACACAGATGAGACAAAACCAACCCCAGCAGAACCAGCAATGACCACAAATGTACAGGGATCAAAAGAGCCTCAAAAAAGCTTTCACACTCACAACTGTTGTCAACCTGGTGGTTGTATAGTCACAGGGAAGGAAGGAAGTGGATTAAGACATGGCTGTGGCTCAGTGATACAACATTTGCTTGGTGCCAGTTTGGTGTAGTGGTTAAGTGTGCGGACTCTAATCTGGGAGAGCCGGGTTTGATTCCCCACTCCTCCACTTGCACCTGCTGATGTGACCTTGGGTCAGTCACAAGCTCTGGCACAGCTGTCCTTGAAAAAGAGCCGTTTCTGTCAAGAGCTCTCTCAGCCCCACCCACCTCACAGGGTGTCTGTTGTGGGGAGGGGAAGGGAAAGGAGTTTGTAAGCAGCTCTGAGACACCAAGTGAAGGGCAGGGTATAAATCCAATCTCTTCTTCTTCTTCTTCCATGCAGAAGGTCTCCTTGGTGTGTCCAGTTAAATGGAATGGGTAGGAGCTGATATGCAAGACCTGAACCTTAGAACCTGGAGAACCATTGCTAGTGAGAGTGGATAAGACTGACCTCGGACCAAGAGCCTGGTTCAGAATAAAGGATAATTTCTTGTGTTCCTAGTGAAAACGTACCACAATCTCAGAGCCGTCACAGAGAAGGCCATGTTCCACATAGCTACCCTTCAAACCTGGCGGCATATGTATTGACTTCCAGAAAGATATGGTTAGTCTGACGCTCGGTTTGTACA